GGGATGACATCGTACGACCTTCGAACATCATGAAGACAATCACACCACGTGCTTTAACCGGAAAGTATCAGATGAAGAACTGTGTGGGGTGGAATCTTGAAAAATAAACTGTTTTAAAGAACGATTAAACGAACACGTTGCCCATGTTTGGTTGATGTGCTCGACATCATTCTCGTAGTTTGGAGTCATTTGTAACTATGATCGGGCGAAGAAGTTGGAAATAGAAAATGAATTGGCTGGAGAAGCTGAGCCCTAAAAGGAACCGGTTACTTGATGATGTTTTTAAGAAAATATATTATTAAACAACAAATGGTTCATCTAACATCAAAGGTAGTTATGAAACTACTATTTTCATAAACAGAAATGGAACAGCAGCTTCTATCAAAACCGTAAGCGGAACAGTATAAGCTGTGCACGAGGAGGAGGAGGATAACATCAATTCGATCGTAATGGAGGGATAATCGTCAGGATACTGTGTGTTCTACTTATCAATCCATATTTCCGGAGATAACTTGATTGTCGTATTTCTTTTCAAATAATTGTTCGAATAAACGATTTTTAATTTGAGAGGATGTGCACGAAACCGTAATAATTGCGTCATTTTCTCTCTTTTTCCATTCAACCCCTCTCTCTCTCTCTCCTTATTTGGTTTTTTTCTCTTTTATCGAGAAAACAATAAGGAAGAGAGAACATTCGATATGAAAACGAAAAAGGAAGAGAGGGAAAAAGGAGACAGACAGAGAGAGAGAGAGAGAGAGAGAGGGAGAGTTTGGCCCATAGAAAACCCGAAAGTACCAGTCTTCTACCCCTCTCCCCCCCCCCTTCTTCACTTCCTTACAAGATTCAGACATCAATCGTTATCCATGGGTGATTGAACTACAGAAATATTAAATTTGAAGCTCATGTGTGTGTTTCATTTCAAAGAAAGATTGTCGGATTTATGTCCATACAAGGGTACAAAGAACACAACGCACCCCCAAATCGTTTTCCTTCCTTGGCGAGAAAAACGTTCAAAATGTAGTCGAATGTTGAGATAAGTCGTATGACATGAGAATGATGACATCCAACGAAAGTGTCCTTTCTGATCACCACCACCACATCACACACACACACATACATACATGCATACATGCATACTTGTAATCGGTTGAATCCTCAACTGATTTCAGTTTAAAAGAGTTTTATAACATGGTCTCCCCCCCCCCCGTTTCAGCAATCAAAGGTTATTTTGGAAGTATTGGGGGGAGAAAATGAAAAAAACAATCAACTGCAAGTGATCTACTAGATGATCATTCGATCTCTGAAAATCATTTGAGATCATTGGAAGACAATCTTCACAGAAAGAATGTATCAGCCTGTGTATATTATAAAAAACAAGTTATTATTATTATTATATTTAATATATATTAATTATATAAATCAAAATGACGAAATGTCATTTCAGCCATTTTTATAATTCAATTTAAACATTTATTCTTGTTATTAAAGATATTTTTTATATATTTTTGTGAACAAAAAGATCATTTATTGATTTCTTTTCTGGCTGTTCTAATGCTCTTGAAGCGGCTAGATGACAACAGATGCTTCATCTTCTTCTCTCAAATCTATATTCTATTCAGCCACATGGGTAGAAAGCTAAGCCATCCTTAAGTCATCATCACCCCACCCTACTACACATTCTCTCTTTCTATTTCTCTCTTTCGCAGGTTTTTCCTTCATTTTATGTTTTCTGAAAAATCTTTTTTTCTATTTTGGGTGTTTATGATGGCGATAGTTAGCTTTCGAAGATTCTTCAACTTGTTTCGAAACATATGTTTATCAAAAAATCAATTTCTATCTGAAATTTCATCAGCTTAATAGCTTTCGATTGGTAATTGGCGACAGACCACGTGGTCCAATCTCTTTTACACCATTTTCGAAAATTAAAAAAAAAAAGGAAAAATTTTTCAACGACATGAGCTCTGAACCACAAGCATGTTTGATATCAAACGATCATTTAAGGGTGATGAAGAAATAGAACAATAGAGAGAGAGAGAGATGATTTGTTAAAAAAAAAAGGGTGGGGGAGGGTGTCTCCTTATAAGGAAGTCAAAGTTACAACTTACATATGCTTTTTGTTTATTCGAAATATATATTTTTCTGCTTTTATCAGCTTAAAGTTTCAATTGTTTGAATGCAAGGGCATACACAACAACATATTTCGTGTTTATGAACTTTCGCTCTTTAACTATATCGTATAGTTAAACGTTTGTTGTATAGTTTGACGTCAAACGAATGTCAAAACTCTGTGTGAAGCGTATTTTGCTCAACAATCCCATGCTGTTTGGTTATTTCGTCTTCTCGTTTAATCCCAAAATGTTTCACTGAATTAGAAAAACTGAATGATTGTTGAGGTCTTTTTTGCGTTCTCTCTCTCTCTACCTCTCTCTATCTTACTCTCTTCCTCTCTTATGCGAATATAAGAAGAGAAAAAGAGATTTTCCCTTGTTTTCTCTCATTTAAGAGGAATCATCGTAACAGCATGATTGGATGGTGCCACCACCAGCACCTTTGTCCAATCGAGCATACTCCATCCCTCGCATCATCGATTGCCTTTCAGTGCAGATTATTGAACAAACTAAGAGAGTAAGAGCGGAAGACGAAACTCCCTATAGCTTCAAACTAACTAGTAAAGCTTTAAAATATTATTTATTTTTATAATTTTCAAATAGTTTCCAATAAAATTAATGGCGTTGAGTATATATGAATGTCTGTGTGTGTGTCCATTCTGTATTGTTAAGCTTTATCGATAAGATTAGCAATCTAACAGTGATTAGTTTCTCAACCGCATTGTCTGTTTTCTTATCCTATTTTCGTTCTTCTTTCTCCACTGTAGATTTATATGGTTGTTGGACAATAACCTGGGTTCAAGGTGTACCTTCTTATCTCCTCTTGAAGCTAATTATATGAAGACTTGTCCTATGACTTTATATGTTTCAATCTGTCTGCACACACCCTCCCCCTCTTCGTTCCTATTTAATGAATTGAAATGAGTATGTTTTCTACTATCACTTTGATGACGCTTCGGTAGGTGGAGCGAACTTGCCTGTCTCCACCCATCTCCAGTCTGTCTTCTATTCCGGTCTTCCCCTTGTATTTGGAGAGTCTACCGTTTAATAGCATTCCATTTTCATATTTTCACACCAGCATGATCAGTTTATTCTAATTGCACTCCACGTGTTCCATCGCTCACGTGGAACTTTTACGTGAGAGTTAATCATTTCAATCGATGTTGACGCATAGGGCGGTTGTGCTTTTATTTCTCTCTTTCTTTGTTTCACTCTCTCTCTCTCTCTCTCTCTCTTTCATTTTTCTCTCTCATATCTCTCTCTCTTATACTTTTCATTCTCTCTTTTAGTCGTTATTTCCCCCCCGTTACGTACTGTCACTCGTTCTTTTTCTTTAGCTAGCCTATTTCAATAAATTTTTGTCGTTTTCGTTGATGTTTAGCTTTTCGTTTATGTAAACAATTAAAATTTCAGCTTTTCTCTCTGAAAGCTTTCTAAAATTATTGACACCATGATGATGTTCGAGTTGGACGAAGATTTGGACCCCTGGGAACCAACCGATTCAAAAATTGACGATGTCAACAAGAACCCTTTCAAGTAATTATTTTTGCAATTATACTTTGCATACGAAACATTATGCAGATTTAATAATGATGAGCCCACTAACTATGTGAGCTCTGATAGCGAAGATGACTACGACGAAGAACAGAAGCCGCATACACTATCACCAACATCAGTACAAGTTAGTTTTAGCTCTAGAGGGAATATGCCTCTCATGCTTCTACTCTTATCAAAATTGCATTTTTAAGAGATCCCTTTGTCTGAATGCTACAAGTACTTTGGCTATTGATATTGCTGAGAGTTCTGATGATGAACCTAGCCCTTCGCAGCTTTGCTTATGCGCAAGTACGAATCTACGCGAGGTAGCTTAGATATTCTTGAGTACACTGTAATAATCACTCTCCAATTTGTTCAGACTCAAGAAAATGGTCAACGTTCACGTAAAACGTCGCAAACATCAAGCTTCCCTTACCATACTCACCAAATAACAGAAGACTACACCGTATCACATGAAGTATGTTTTAATGATTTCTTCATTGCTTTATTGGGCAACTTAAACTTCGAACCCAGAATACTACATTCACCTTGTTACAGATTATTGGTGTAGGAGAATCAGGCAAGGTAATGGCTTGTTACAACAAGGAAACAAACGAGAAGTTTGCTCTGAAAGTTTTACGCGAAGGACCAAAATCCCGTCGTGAGGTCGAACTTCACTATCTTACCAAGTAAACCTTTTTTAACGAGTAATGTAATTGCTGAATCACGTTTTCAGTGTTCATGAGAATGTTGTTACAATCGTAGACATCTATGAAAACACATTCAACTCTGTCAAATGTTTGTTAATGGTCATCGAGTTTTTGGAAGGCGGCGACTTATTAACTCAATTTGAAAACCAAGGCAGCAAGCCTTACTCAGAAAAAAGTAAGTAACGTCTTCAATTTTATTTCCTTCCTTGAATTAGACTGCAGAAATAGACTAAAAGATATAATCAATCATTTGATTACGGTGTTGTCAAATAAATGAACGAAAGATGTTTGAGCGAGAGAAAGGGCTTCCCCGAACTGATAATTCGAAATTTCGTTGGTCGCCGCTTGAGAGAAATGGAAGCAGGGGGCGAGACCAGTAAATTTACAATTCGTGTGTTTGAGTGGGGGGGGGGGGTTGTTTGAAAGAGTTTTTGTCTGAAAAGTTGCAGAGACCAGATAATTTGGAGATGGAAGCCAATAATCATAGAGAGAGAGAGATAGAGAGAGAGTGATTAGGAACATGTTCTACTCCCGTATAACAGACGATACAATTAACTTTTGTATGATAACATGAAAAATGGTAGAAAAGATCAGAGTTACTTTGATAAAAACGTTTGAACGATGCAAATGACTTATTAATAGAAATTGAAAATATTTTGTATTAAAAATTGAGCAAATCAACTTTCTCACGACTGTCTTATACTCTCTCAAGGTCCTTTCTTCTATTTTAGAGCTTTAATTGACTTCTTTCTTTGCTTTTTTATGTATTATCGTATTGAAAACAGATCAAAGTACGTTGATTCATTATTCTTCTTATAATGATTATATCAAAATATGTTTTCTTCGTCCAAAATGTTCATTTATTCCTAACATTTATTCTTAAACAACCATTGATAATAATACCCTTTGTCATTAGAAGTCAGCACTGTTAACAATCAAAGAAGAACTTCAAAAAGCACAGAGTGTTCTTAACAAATTTGATTTCAATCCGATCAAGAACTAATAGTAGAGGGTGTAAAAGTTCGTATGAGAGCGAGAGAGAGGACATCACTCGTAATGAACTTTATTGATGACGTCAATTAGCATATGTGCAGAGAGTTGACGTGTATTCCGTGTATTCACGTGTGTCATCACTCATTGTGATTTGATGTTCGGTTGATATGCGGCTGTGCATGGATATATTAAAAAACAATTTTGTTTGTTTTTCAGAAGTTGGTGAAATAGTACGTCAGATAGGATCTGCTGTTCAATATCTCCATGACATGAACATCGCTCATCGTGATATCAAGTTAGAAAATATTCTATGCAGGTAAACTGACAGTCAATTAGCCGCTGCTTCATATAAACATCGTTTCAGTTCTACGGGTGAAGATTGTATATATAAAATAGGCGACTACGGGTTTGCCAAAAGACCTGAACGTAATGTTCTCATGGAAAGTCCATGTTGTACTCCATTCTATGCGTAAGTGATTTTTGTTCCAACCGTTTGTTATTTCAATCCTATCCAGTCCACCAGAAGTATTAGGACGTGAACGATATGACAAATCCTGTGATATGTGGTCTCTTGGCGTTGCTATGTACATATTGTAAGTTATAGCTTCTTCTCGTTTTATTCTTAAAATAGCCGTCAAGCTAGATTCTCTTGACAATCTTGTGAATTTGTGCGATTACTTCAAAATGATGAAAACAGAAATACAAATAAGCTTCTTCTTTACCTTCAACTAGCTCCCTTCACTGTTTTCTTAAAAGATCTCAAAATTCAAGCTTATAAGAAGTTAGAGAAGAAACTTAAGTAGATAGTGTGTCCTTATTGGAACACAGGTTTGGGTTCCAGACTTTGTGGATACCCGCCCTTCTACAGTATGAAAGGTCAAGCTTTGTCTCCTGGAATGAGATCTCGGATCGCCAATGGCTACTACGCTTTTCCACATGAAGAGTGGGACAGTGTGTCTCCATCTAGTAAGCAATCGTCACCGTATTATACCAATTACCTTCTTAACATTGTTATTATTCAGTATGTTGAGAGTTTTGAAGGTGATGTTAGTAGAAAATGCGCTCTTATTTTCCAGCTTTGATAAGAGTGAAAGTGAATGTTATTGTTCTCCAAAGTCCACGTTTGTGAATGTGAGATGAATCTGTTTTGATTCGCGGCTATATTATAATCGTGCTTTGTAATAGTCTTTGAAACTTGTAGCAAATCGCTGTTTAATCATTGTCCTTTGCAGCTAAGGAAGACATTCGTTGTCTGCTACAGACGGATCCAAGCAAACGAATGACCATTCATGAGCTTAATAATACACCATTAGTCACTGGTGAAGAGCCTGCCACACCAAGCATTGCCATTCCGGGTAGTGAGGAACGTGATAGTAGTGAAGAGCCTGATGCTGTGAGTTCTTTTTCAAGAAATATCATCTTGATGATATTCCTTTATAGCTTCCCGCCATTCCATCCATTCCAAGAAGTGTTCGTTTCCTCAAGGAAGGAGTTAAAGCTCCACGCCTTCACAGCATTCAGGTTAGTACAACATGAGACTAGTAGTTCAATCATTTCAAAAATTCCAGGAAGAAGTTGGTCGTGCAATGGATATCATGCGCCTAGGACACGAGGAATTCTTGTTGAAAACACCTCAGATGTCCTGTAATAATCATTTGTTGACACGCCGACGTAACAGTCAATTTTCCATTCCACGCGTTCAATGTTAAAGAGAGTAACAGAGGAATCATGGCAGAATAAGAAGAAGAAGTTTTCGAGAGATATTTTTAATAATCTCTTATTTATATGGAATATTTTGAGTTTTTTAATTTTGGAATAAGTAAGAGGATCATTCGGAAAGTAATTAAGCATGGGGATTATATCTGTATATAATTTCTTTTTATAGTTTGCAACTTATATTTATTTAGATTTTTTCATAGACATATGCATAAAGTCTCTTTTTCTCATTCTCACTACTGTATACCTGAAAGCTGTGAAGTAAACTTACTCACGCACTCTCTCTCTTAAGAAGAAGGCAGTTTTTTAAGACATTCATAAACCTTTCTGGTTAATCGGTTGCATGTGAAGACATGCTCACCTGTGCCAGCTTTCATGGCATTCGTTAAGTAAGCAATTACTATATGATTAGAAGGATCCATTTTTACAATTTGACCACCTACCCCACTATGACCTATCTGCCAAGTTTTCTGTAAAATTTGGGCGAATGATGTCCGTTCGTCTGTTTTTACCTCTGGACTCTGAGTGTACATAAAGCCAAATCCTTTACTTTGAACTTCCCCAATAGTGTGATCGAACTCTTTCACAAACAAAGGCTCGGCTATTTTCTAAAATATTTCGGAGGTTATAATTTTCTTTGTTTAAGCTTCTACTTGAAAAGTTTGAGGAGAAATTATTGTGTGATCCATGAACAACTGATGCAACTCTGCTAGTCCTCTTGCTGTTGCTATACCATTAACAGCTGCTTGTCCAGCAATACGAAGTTCAGGATTATTGTAAAGTATAAAGTTCTTGAAAAAAAATAATTCACGTTGACCATCTTTCCTACTTTTCCGAAATTTCGCATGTTCTGCAGAGCCTTGTTGAAATAACCTCTAGGGTTGAAGTAATACTTTCCTATCTTGGCGATACACTTGTCATACGCAACTTCCCTGAAAAACTGATCATAACCATATTTAGAATAGTGAAACCTGAGAGTGAGGGGAGTATGTAAGTCTGTCAACCGAGCTGTACGAGACTCTTCATTGGCACAGTTTCCAATGTGAACATCAAGATGGTACTTATCAGCTATTTCTTCTTTGAAGAATACCCCGATTGTCCTCTTATTTGGATCGATTCGGCGAAAAACCTTCAAATATATGGTGAAAGATAGAGAATTCTTCATAAAACCTGATCAATAAGCCATCCGAACGTTAGTGGATGGTAGGCTGTTTTTGAATTCGGTTCAAACACAAGTTCACATTCCTCAATGATCTTCGACATCAAATTCTCATCGATCAATTCAGGTAAGGAAAGGACCTTATTATTGAAGAAAGGTAAACCGGCCTGCAGATCGAACAATACTACGTAAGAGCAACTATGGACTACCTTATGTGACAAAATCATTTGTAAAGTAACGTTTTCTTTGCCATGTTGGCCGAACTCCGGCCAATATTTGATAATTTTGTCGTTATAATCACATAGCCCATGATCGATCAAACGAGAAACACAAATGGCAGCGATGCTCTGACAAAAAGAAGAAGAACTATTAATAACAATACTAAAATGGCGTACTTTAGTGCAACTGAATATAGTTGTCAATGTGTCTTCTCTCCATAATCGATTGCATTCACGATCAGCATATCCACCCCATATATCGACCACCTTGATTCCATTGTGAAAAACGGCGAAAGAAGCTCCTCCACGTTCCCAACCTTCCCCGAAATTATTTCTGCAACGAAACAGCAAAATATTGAACACAGAGAGGAACGAAATACCTGAACGACTTCTCGACAGCTTCGAAACCAGGACTACAGCTTCCTTCAATATGTAAATTTCTTTTAACCATCTTAGACGTTTGAAACGGAGAATAATAAGTTGAAGAAGAGGTGATAGGAGTGGGAGTAACGAAAGAAGATACAGAAAGTCATTGGTAGGCCAAGGCCACACGCAGTCTATGCAAACTATACCCGTCTCCATGTTCAAAGGAAAAATTAAAACTATATCATCATTATCACTTAATAACTCCACAAGCCAGATCAGGAAGAAATACGAAAAATGAGACCTTGTACTTCTTTGCTCTGATCCAAAGTTGAAACCTAAATCATCTTTCTGAAAACTATAACTCACAATTCCGCTGGCAGAAAATTTTGGAGACATGATAGGCATGACCTCATAGTTCTGAAAATAATTATAATTGTTTAATTCTGAATATAATTTATTAAATATTAAATCATTTCAAAAATAAAATTGGATAACGACCATACCTTGTTCGGATTGCGGTCCCCTAGCTTGCACAAGTCATGACCGACGGTTAATCTCTGATTCGGCGCTAAATTCAAATCGTGATTACGGTTATATTCTGAAGGCTATAACTCACGATTCTGTAAAAATCAGACTTTCTTCTCCTCACTAACGTATTCAGAATCGTTCAATTACCTAGAATACAAAAAATCAAGGCTGAAAGCTCAAATTCATTTTTTACCTTTCAGCTCATAGCTCCGA